GATGAACGAGGTGACGAACCAAGCGCCTGTCCGGAAGATTTTGAGATTTTTTTTAAACATTTAAATTAAGCATTCAGGTAAGAAGAAAATTAGAGCAAAAGACAACGTGCGTCAGGTAAAAAAGACATTTACTAACATATCTTAATTTAATTAGGACACACATATGAAAGATGTCCTGCCCCAAGTGGAGGAGTTCAAGTGTCTTGGGGTCTTGTTCACGAATGAGGGAAAAATGGAGCGTGAGATCGATATGTGGATAGGTGCAGCGTCTGCAGTGAAGCAGGCGTTGTACCGGTCTGTCGTGGTGAAGAGAGATCTGAGTCAAAAGGCGAAGCTCTCAATTTACCGGTCGATCTACGTTCCTACCGTCATCTATGGTCACGAGCTTTGGGTTGTGACCGAAAGAATGAGATCTCAGATACAAGCGGCCGAAATGAGTTTTCTCCGCAGGGTGTCTGGGCTCTCCCTTAGAGATAGGGTGAGAAGCTCGATCATCCAGGAGGGACTCAGAGTAGAGCCGCTGCTTCTCCACATCGAGAGGAGCCAGTTGAGGTGGCTTGGGCATCTGGTTAGGATGCCTCCTGGACGCCTCCCTGGTGAGGTGTTCTGGACACATCCCACCGGGAGGAGACCCAGAGGAAGACCCAGGACACGCTGGAGGGACTATGTTTCTCTGGTCTGGGAACGCCTCGGGATTCCCCAGAGGAGCTGGCCCAAGTGGCTGGGGAGAGGAAAGTCTGGGCCTCCCTACTTAGGCTGCTACCCCCGCGACCCGACCCCGGATAAGAGGAAGAAAATGGATGGATATGAAAGATGGCGTCAATCAAAAAATAAAATCTAAACAAGCAACAACAGCAGCAAGCCAACCAGATAAACCAAATATAGCAGAGCATTTTGCTAATAGCAAAAGCTATTTTCTTAAATATGTAGCGCTAAGCTAGCAGCGTGCAATACAGACGCATTACCTAAGATGCTACAGACATAGCACTCCGCTTCTCTAACGCACTTTAACCCCCGACTCCCCCGGTCGACAGCTGCTAGCACTTATTTACTGTACACGCTTACGTAACGCTAAGCTAGCACTACGTAGGTGTGCTAGCTTAGCGCTTACGTGCTAGCTTAGCGCTTACGAGCTAGCGCGTGTGGTGAGCACAGTTTGCGAGCTAGCTAGCGTGACTTACGTAGCTCTAGCTTAGCGCTACGTAAGTCCAGTCAATGGAAAATTGTGCCACCTACCACGCCCCTGACAGCCCCCTCCTGAAAAAACTCTTTGGATCTAGATGGTTCATGTAAGTGACATATTTTTGATTGAAATGAGCGATTTTCCACTGAAAAGCTTGCAGGTATGTTTATGGATTTATTTAGATGAGCTCCACTTGGCCTGACTCGGCTCGGCTTCAGAGTCTTCTCACTGAGGGACTCCACCCATTTCCAGCTCCATTGTTAGGACCAACTAGACCAAGGTTCCAAGAGAGTCGGGTCAGAAGATTTGAACGTAGGCAGGACACCGATTGGCCGGAGAGACGTCAGTCATGAGAGTGTCCTTCACAAGAATCAAACCCGCCACGTTTAAAACCTCAGACCCGCAGCATTTGTTTTAACTATTTACTTGTAAACGTTTCCTTACCTGTTGATTGACCACAGAATTCAAACAGAGCTAGACCAAATGGACTGGATTTACGGATTCGACCGGCGGTGGTCGAAGGCGGCCTCGACACGAAGCTGTGGCAGAGGACGGTGGGTGTTGATGAAGAACAGTTTACAGTGAGTACAGGTCCTGCACGTTTTACATGCTTTCCTGCTTTTTGGGCAGGTCTTTAAATTTTGTAGGGATTTGTTAATCGCTCATTCATTCACCTCAAGTGTGCATCTAAAACATGCAGGATAGTAGCCCTCAAGGACCAGCGTCAAGGACCACCACCCTAGACCGTGTGGACCTGAGTAGAGTCGAGGCGAGACTGGATGGTGGAAAACGGTTTTAGTAGAAACCGTGAGCTGACACCACCGTTTGAGTTTGTACTAAGCAGCACTCAGGCCCTCGGCCACTTGAGGGAGATGCCACCCACCCTGGTTCTGGCTCTGTTGGAGACTTCCTGCTGTTGAAAGGGAGTTTTTTCTCCCCACTGTCACCCAATGCTTGCTGAGCATGGGGGATTTTGGTAGCAGCACATCGTGCAACGTGAACAAAATGAAAAAATAAATGCTAGAACACCCACAGACACCAGTGGGATTTTGGCAAAGTGAGCTAGGTCCAGTTTGGAGCTCTACAGGAAGCTGGACTTTACACGACTGAACTGGGGTTTTCTTTAACGGTTTTTGCACTTTAACTTTTGTGCTTTCTTACATTTCTCTGAATCGTTAAATTAGAGTCACGATGTGTCCTCTAATTTAACTTTCCAAAATGTTGCAAACAAACATTTCTTACTTCTACAAGGTTTTAGTAGATGCACAAAACGAAGGTATTTTAGTTTTCTGTCATTGTTGTAGGACACGTGGTTCTGTCCTGAATCTTCAAGGTCCAGAGAACGCACGAGCTTCCATGGACTCTCACGTTCAGCTCAAAATATTCTTGTTAGAACTAGAAGTGAAGGTCAGGTCGTATCTCAAACACAGCATCAAAACTCCATCAGAGCTTTCTGCCGCTCACCGCTCAAGAACCTTCAGATACAACTTACAGTTCGCTCACAGCGACGCTTTGTCTGAGGCTTACTTTTCAGTCTACATTTTGTCTGCCTCGCTGGAGTGAGTACACCCACCCCCCACTTCAAGCACCGTCTGTAACACATTTGTATTATGAGAACCTAAAGTGGAAGTGAGCTAAGAGCTTTGGTGGGTTCAAGAAGAAGCTTACGCCTCGCCGTGGTTGTTTTCTGTGAAAATGAGCTCAGTGATTTACCGTACGGAGGTTCTCGGGGCGTCAGTAAGGGGGAGGAGCGGAGTTGGTCCATGTTCGCCTTCAGAACCGGACTGTTGAGAAGAAAACACACAGATATGAAGTGCAAAGTGATATCTGAACGTTCATGTGAGGCTGCTAACAGACGACAGGAAGTGAAGCTGCTACCTGCTTCTGATGGGCGGAGTCGTCCACTCCACCTGCTGACTGCTGGACTTACTGACCCGCTCTGAAACACAACATAACGGGTCAAATGATAAACCCCAGATATCCTGATGCACGCTCAATAATCCAGGTAGAAAAATCTAAAAAAGTTAAGTCTGGTCCTCTGGACATTCAAAAAACAAAACAAAAAAATTGTAGAAACATTTTGTCTTTCATCCTAAATACTTCCTCAGAGCTAATATATATGAGGCTAACTCCAGAGATAATATTTATGACGTTAACTCCAGAGCCAATTTATGAGGCTAGCTCCAGAGCTAATATACGTTAGCTCCAGAGCTAACATATATTAGCTCTGGAGCTAATATACGTTAGCTCTGGAGCTAACGTATATTAGCTCTGGAGCTAATATATATGAGGCTAGCTCCAGAGCTAACATATATTAGCTC